ATATATATATATAGAGAACTGTATACAGACACACCCACACCGTATCGCGTTGTCTCTTTGTGCACATCGGTAACTATATACTGCATGTGTTCGGGCATGTATACTTATACATATATGTCTTGATACACACCAGCGTGTGCATCTTCCCGGTTCACCTTGTGTTTCGCTTACATCTGCCGGCATGCTTACTTGTCTCAACAGATACGTATATGTAAAGTAAATGACCAGAATATACACCGACATAAATATATGTGTGTATATATGTATATATNNTGCGTACCTACCTGCCTACCTACCTACCTACCTACCTACCTACCTACCTACTTACCTACCTACCTACATACATGCATACATGCATGTATGCTTGTGTTTAAGATACATGCTAGATAGATAGATCGGTAGATAGATAGACAGATAGATAGATAGGTAGATAGATAGATAGATAGGTAGATAGATAGATAGATAGGTAGGTAGGTAGGTAGGTAGGTAGGTAGACATACATACACATATACATATACGTATATAATACGTACTGTATATATGCATTGTGCTCGCTTGGTCATCCAGTTTCTATTGTCTTGCTCATGAATTCTGAATCTGTTGGCCCGATCTTCATGTACCGTATAGTCCTGATTCCACCTCATCGGCTTTTAGCTTTGTCTGGCAAACGACTTGAAGTCGTGGAGGCCAAGCTCCTAAAGCCGACTCCAAGCACAGGTTTCAGGGTTGATTGAGTCTTGAAACTGTAGAAATTCCAATCACTTGCACATGTATCGTCCTAAACCCTAAATCATCATGCTTTTCCTTAACGGTGGAGTGACGTTCGTGAACCTTGCGGCAGCCCGGGAACCTGCATCGAAGCCGGGCTTAAAACCTGCCTGCGAGATGAAATTGCAAGTTCTGAGGTGTTTTCGCAAGGGTACACTGTTTCAGTATTCGGCTTCCCTTTGCGACCCCTACGTGAGGTGGAGGAGAAGAACCTCCAGGAATACTTATGCCCGGCACCTAACCGGCAGCCTTCTTGGTGTGCTAGACGAAGGTCAATGCAGATGTGTACAGGTCTGTGAGCAGAGGTACGGAGACAGATAGGAGAAAAGAGCGACATGTGTGTGTGTGTGTGCGTGTGTTTGTGTGTTTGCCTAGGTACGTACGCATATGTTGAAGAAGCTTTCATGAACACGTGGCTTGTCGTGTCTGATGTTATTGTACATGTTTGTCAGGGCTGATGGAGCCCTCAGCAGACTTGGTCAGCATCCGCACGCGCACGCGGGTGCGTGTGTGTTTGTGTGTGTGTGTGTGCGTGTGTGTGTGTGTGTTTGTGTGTGTGTGTGTGTGTGCGTGTTTGTCGGAGTTTCTGTTCGGAGTCCGTGTGAGGGCTTGCTGCTCAATACATGGATCGGTATGTCGGAATGAGAGATCCCAACTTCTGCACGTCACTCCTGCGTTATTGGCCTGAGGAGATTCAAGCAGAAGTATGATGAATATTGCAATTCAACTAGCAGTTAAGGTGGGGCCACTACACGTTTGAGGTTTGGGACTTCTTGTAACCTCCGCTCTGAGGCCAGAAGCAACATACCATGGTGCTTCAGGGGGCAGTGCACACCTTGCAGCACACGCTGGTGCAGGGATCTCAGGATGTTGTAGCTATCCAAGATAAGGTGACTGGGTTTCGTCATAAGGTGACCGTCTAACGTTGTCATGTTCGCGCCAGAAACATCACGGAGTAATAGCCGGGATGGTGGTGTCGCTGAAACAAGTCTTCCTCTCTCCCAAGTCAGTCCTATCATTCTTGAATGCTGCCGAGATGTGGATTAATCCTGGGAGACGGGCCTGTTCAGGAATCTTGCTGAACTTCGATGCACTGGGTGGAATCATTGCGACACATGGCGCATGGAAACCCACAGCAATTTTGGCTCAAGTCGCTCCGTAAGGCGCCCGGACACAGGTGGCTATCGTCGAACTCGTCCGTTCGCTTTTCTCGCCTCAGCCAGATCTCCTCCACCACAGATGCCGCACATCTTTGCTGTCCTATTCACTAGCATGGTATCGGCTGTGCAAGCCTCAAGTCAGGTCAAGCTCGAAGTGCAAGGACTCAGCCTTCAAGACACCTACATTCACGGCTTCTTGTGCACAATTCGTCACTACGCCCATTCCCCTTGCTGCTGGGGGTCTCTCACGGGCTACAACACGGGCGAGAACGCATCGGCGTGCTTCGACCAATTACCGGATGGGGTCTTGCCCTACCTGTTTTTCACAAACATCTGTGAGTGGGATTGGCAAGACAGTCCGCCGCCAGAGCAGCTGGCGATCTACAGGCTGCGCCTGACGGTGAGGATGGTTGGCAATGCCCTCGTGGTGAAGAGCGCTGTGAAGGACGATGCAGGCGCCGGTGGCTGGTCTGATGAGAAGGAGACCGTCCTTCCGCCAGATGGCTGCTTTACGGAGCCGTGTTCAAACAAGGATTGCAGCAAGAAGGCATCTGACAACCAGGTGCCATGGTCAATTTGCTTCCGCGGGCCATGCAACTCGGCATCGGGGCCCCAAGGCCCTCCAATGGGCCGGCCGGGAGCACCGTGCCTGGGGCCAAACACGACCGACAACTCAACGACGGTCTTCGCTTGACTGCCGGCGAACAGCAGCTGTCAGTGTGAGACAGCCTCAAGGCTTCTCTGTCCTTTTTGACCGTAGCTGTGACACGTGTGGTGTCCACTCGCATTAGATTGTAGGAAATGACGAGCTATCAAGTTTGAAAAGTGATTTGGCTTGTACTGAAGCTGCTTTCGACGTTTCGTAGCTGTATGGCTGAAACATTGTATTGCTCAGCTGGCTGGACGTCCCGTCCCTTTAGCTTAGTAATGCCATTCCCGTGCGGCCCACGGTTGTGCAGTCGTAGAGTATACCCCGTACGAACCCTAGTCTAAATATGATGTAGGCCGCTATAACTCCCTGTAACTTATCCCCTATAGAGTTCAAGCCTATGCCTCTCCTGGGTTCATCGGTTCATTCAGATGCAAAACTGTAGCAACGCTTAGTCCGGAGGGCCTGTCTGTTGCAAGCCGGTGTGGGTGCGACAGCTTTGGCCCTGACCACTATGCATCTGCATCCTTCACCCTGAGACGGCCAACGCCTGCACCCTCAACTATCCGTCCAATACTTGTAAACAGCTTTGCCCAAGGTCAGTCCCCACGACGCGGGCCGGTGATGGCTTCGTTCACTTTGGGGACATGCTCATCCTTTGCAGTGTCTGGAGCTGGGAGCCGGGGTTGGAGTAAGGCTCTAAGTTTCAAGCGTCTGCACTTGGCGTCTCGAGTTGTGTTGTGATCATCCCAGAATTTTGTTGATTCGATGAAGCAGTCTGGAACGTTCCGGAATCCAGTTCAGGCCTTTAAACACCTAGTCCTGATGCCCAGTGAAGAAACTTGAGCGGCCACCCTGTCTATGCATGACTCCCAAAATTGAACTGCAGCGCTTCAAAAAACTTGTCCCTACTCAGTTCAACCTTGGCTTGGCGGCCCAGGTCCCCAACCCCTTATTTGAGCCCAGGTACCCACGAATTCAGGACCATCAGGCCTCTGTTCAAGGGTACTTGGGGGGTGCTGGTAGGGTGTGAAAGGCATGTACAGGCTTTCTAGCCCTAAAACCCTTAGCTTCAAAACACATAAATCCTTGCCCCAATCCCCCGCATTCGCCCCTGAACCTTTATGAAGCCCCTGCCGAGGCCTGCACCCGTGGTCTTCTGCAGGTAGATCCCGCAGCTGCCGTGACCGCCTCCTGGCTGTCCACAAAGCTAAGCCTAAACCCGACCCTTCAGTACCCACAACCTAGTTTTTGTAGGGTCCCTACAAATTCTATAGCAGGGGCTCTTAAAAATAACAGATCGTGGTAGGCTAAGATATGGTAAGAGGCCTTCTGACTGTCCTGACCATTCAGCTGAGCAAGGCAATGCTGCCACTACTAGTAACTAGTAGTAGACCGCAGCACTTTATTCCCCTGCTTGCCTCAACCTCTCTTCTCATCAAAGCTCGTGTAAATTAAATTGTCATGGGGTTCAGGGTTTGGGGTTTAGAGTGCACGCAAACGAGACGGTGACACAACATGGTGCAGACGACTGAAGTTTGCAGCAGTCTCCTTCCAGAGGGTTCAACACATTACTGGAGACCGGAGCTTCTCAAACTTTGCACCCAGGTCAATGCCGGCTCCGTCGAGGCCTTCCGCGACAGATTCTTTTTGCGTTTTTTGAAGTAATTAGGGTAGTTCTCCAAATTAGGGACCCTCTTAGGGTCCTTTTTATAAGTGTGACGTTCTATATGGGGGACCTAAAGTGGGACCCGAGTTTAGAGAACTACCCATTAGGGCTGTCAACATCAGTCCTGTATGCTAGCACTCAAGCAGACTTTCAGATTGGAGTCGGGAAAGCCCTCCGTTTTCCGAGTTCGGCTTGTGGCAATAGAAAGTGGTATGAGCGTCTCACAGGAAGATTGTTGACTGAAAAGCTCTGGGAGGATCTGTAGTAGGGGTTTTAGGGTTTTGGGGCAGGAAAAAAAGTTGGACCGTATTTTCTCTTGGTGAGGGGTGTTGGTGTAAAAGCCCCCGAGGAAGTCGTTGGTCCAAGCACTCTCGAAGCTGCCTAAAAAGGAGTGATCAACACCGCTCCTTGGGGTTCCTGTTATAGTTGCAGCAGAACATACCCCAAAACCCTGTTCCAATTGCTAAGGCCTCTATACTATATCAACTTACCAAGCCGTTGAGAAGGCCTCTTCTGTCTTGTGAATCTTGTTGGGGATGTTGTTGAGAAGAGGCCGAGCGGGTACTGTTGAGTTGGGGCTCAGGGACGGTGCATAGGACCGACCTCGAGATGACCTCACGTGCCAGGAAGCCAACTTCCAACCCTGAACCCCGAAGTTCTATAACCGTACAGGAACCCTGAAAGAAAGCCCTAAAGAATCCCTGAAGGGAACTGCCCCTATTTGCTTGGAACCTCGCGGAGGTGCAGGGCTGCAAGCTCTCGACAGGAAGTGTGATCTCCTCCTGTCCAAGGACAGCGACCTTTCTGGGGTTTAGGGATTAGGGTCCGCGCTCCCAATGCGCCTTAATTACGGAATGATTACGGCTTAAGCAATAGAGGGATTCTTATTGTGGTCTCAGGTATATTTTATCCAAAAGGGGTGTGAAGAGTTCAGGGTTTGTGGCTCAGGGCTTTTGGCTAAGGTCGGAAGAGTTTGAGGAATTGGCCTCCGGCTTAAGAGTGAGAATCTCATATCCCAGTCCAGGCACCTATAGATAGTGTTCCTGCACAGGTCTGACTCATGCACTGCAATCCTGAGAGAGGGGGCCACTAAAATATCGTTCGTGTTCAATTAGATTTTCTAAATTTTGCCGAACTTTTGGCCCCCCGAAACTCCAGCAAAATTGCCCTGAAAGGCCCCGCCAAAGAAGCCCACCGGCCCAGAGGCACCGGGTTTCCCGGAATCTGCCGACCCTCCTAAACTGCCTTCCCTGGACGTCAAAAATGCAGGTTTTCGGAAACTTGGTAGGGCTTGTCGGAGGTCGTGGTTGAACTTGCAAGGGTTCGACCTGAGATGCTGATAGGCATCAGAGATTTGGGGGGTTTCGGGTGCAGGGACTTCGGAAAGGAGCAACTTCACAGTCGGCCGGGTGGACGACAATGACAGTCACGGCACCGACACGTGCGTCTACTATGGGCAGCTGATCCGATTGGGGCCGGTGCCTGAGAGGAGTTGATTTGGGGCTTAAGGTGCGATGACCGTTGCTATTGCAATGTGCCAATACTGCTCGAGGGCTGCGTGCTTAGCTCTACTAGTACAATCGCATGTGATTAATGACTAAATACTGCTTGCGAGTTCCCAGTTACCAAGTTCTCATGAGGTTCTAGCGACTGGCTAATCAGCTATATCCCCATCACCATTACGAAAACCCAAATCCCAAAACCCTAAACCCTATAGTCTAGACCGCGAGCATGACCTAGTCGCGAAGCGGCCCGCGATCGATCAGAGAGCCGCTTACGCACATCACTGCAGAGGCTCTCGTCCTCGGCAATCACCAATGACGAATCCATATAATGTAACGACCTGTAAACTTCAACCCCAGGATGCCAAAATCTATCCAGAATCCAAAACCCAAAATCAAAAACCCAAAATCCAAAACACAAAATCCAAAACGACAATCCAAAACGTAAAATCTTAAATCCAAAATCCAAAATCCCACATCCTCAGCGGCCCCCAGCAACCAGAAACCAGAAAATCCAGGAGGACCTTGGAAATGGCCTTCGGAAGAGGAGCGGGCATTGCAAAATCGGCCATGTTTGGGCTTCTGTGTGGTTCCCCTCCAATCCAATGCAAATGCTTATTGCAAATTCGACCACTTCAATTTTTGAATATCCAAGGGGCCTCGGAGGCCGAATGTTTGCTACTTCGACGTTTAAACCCCGAGACGATTGCCGGCAGCGGGAGCCCCAAACCAAAACCATGATATTTCGACGTTTAAAACTTCGAGACCACTTCCGGCAGTGGGAGCCCCACGACGCTTAAAGCTTCGAGACCGCTGCCGGCAGCGGGTGGCTCAGGCCGAAAGCTCGCAACTTCGACGCAAAAACTGTCCAAACCCCTTCCGTCAGCGGGAGCCCCAGGCCGAAAGCTTGCTACTTCGACTTCTAAAACTTCCAGACCACTACCGGCAGCGGGAGGCCCAGGAGGAAAGCTTGACATTTAAATCCTCCAGACCACTACCGGCAGCGAAACCCCCAGGCCGAAAGCGTCTTGCAACTTGTAAAACCTCCACGCCACTAATTACCGGTATTGGGAGCCCCAAGCCGACAACTTGATACCTCTACTTTTACATCCGCGACACTACTGCCAGCACCGGGAGCCCCAGGAAGCCTCGAGAGTACTGCTGGCAGCTGGGGCCTTAGAAAGCCTTTATATTTCGACGTTTCAAACTTCGAGACCACTGTTGGAACCGCGAGCCCCACCGGGATCACTGCCGGCAGCGGGAGGTCCACGACGTTTAAAGCTTCGAAATCGCTCATTGTTGAAAGCCTCCAGACGACAAACGGCAGCGGGACCCCCAGGCCGAAACCTTGATACCTCGACCTTTAAATCCTCGAGACACTGCCGGCACCGGCAGCCCCAGGCCGAAAGCTTGATACGTCGACTCTCACACCCAAATTCCAGCGCTTATAAAATTCCAAAGTTGTTTTCGGAGCTGCCACGATGTCTCGGCATTCGACTGTAAGTGTCTTTCCTGAGCGGTCCGCGCTCGTAGGCGAGACGCCCGGCCTACCCCCTCTGGGTTCTCCCGTATGCAGCGTGTTGCTCTTGTCGATGTTTTTCGCTTTCATGCCCAACAACCTGCCTGAAAAATCAGCAAGACATCGATGTCGCATGCATGAGCAGAGGTCGTGAAATCTCTGACATCGTACCAAAAAGTTCACCGGGATTTTCCACGGCGCTTGATCGGATGGCTGCTAGCACGGTGGTTCCCGACCTCCTCCTTCTATTTACGACTTCCTAAATGAGTGCTATCAAACATCCGCGCACAAGTTAAGTTGAATCCTTCGGCTGCATCTTAACTTCCGTGCGACGTAAAGCCGATTCGAATGTCGGCATCTGGGTCGTATTGCTTGCGATTGTGTTTTGTGTCTTTGTATGATAAAGAAAAATTAAGAACAATACACTTGAATGCACAGCAAACCTCGGGTGGGTCGGGCGGGCAGCAAACAGCCGCGGGTCAGGCTTGGCAAACCCTAAACCTAAACCCTAAACCCAAACCCTAAACCCTAAACCACGGATTTTGGCGAGTACCCGTGCCTCGCCGGAATGTGAAGCGTTTTTCGTTGCTTTTGTGCTGGTCTTTTAAAAGCAACATGTCCATGTCGGAGAGCGGTTTGGGGTGTGAGGACTTGGAGGTTTAGGGTTTAGGGCTTGAGTAGGTTTAGGGTTTTCGGGTTTATGGTTTTAGGATTTTAAGGTTTTGTGTTTTAGGGTTTCGGGTTCAGGGTGGAGTTCAAGGTGTTGTAAGTTGGGTCGGTTAGCCGTTTGCTTCTTCTCGATGCGTCCACTCAGAGGACGGTTGTGCGCAAGCACACCGTGAACACCATCATGCTCCTTCTCCAGTGCTGGACAAAGCTACGAGGCACCCTGCCCCAGCCATCCTCCCCATCAACAGGACCCAAAAACCCTGAACCCTAAACCCCAAATCCTGAACCCTGAATCCCAAAACTCCAAACCCCAAAACTCTAAACCCTTAGACAGAGGCTATCCCGGTTTCGGTTTTGCTGAGGACTCACGAGGCTCTTGCTGACAAGCCTTGCTACCTCTATGCCAGCACCCAAAGCAGCCAGGGGCTCACTCGGGCTCAGGGTTTAGGGTTTAGGGTTTAGAGTTTAGGGTTTAGGGTTTAGGGTTTAGGGTTTAGGGTTTAGGCTTTAGGGTTTAGAGTTTAGGGTTTAGGGTTATAGGGCTCATTATAGTTGTTGAAAGTTCAGGGCTCAGGGTTTTCAAGTTTAGCGTCCAGCGTTTAAAGTTTAGGGTTCAAGGTGTAAAAAGCTTACGGCCTAGGGGGTGGAGTTTCTGTGTCTGCTTTTGGTATAGCCAACAACTTAGGGGCATGAAAAGCTGGAATATGGTTTTGGGGGGCTCGTTGTTCTACGATTGTGATTTAATCTTCGATGTTACAGAGCTAGAGAAAGGATTGCCACGCACTTGTCCCATCTGATCGCAGCAGCATCCATTGCAGCACCCTGAACCCCTAAACCCTTCAAACCCTAAACCCTAAACCCCTAAACCCTAACCCCTGAACCCTAAACCCGAAGCTTATGGCCATGGCTGAGGCGACGATGGATCTGGCCAGGCAGGTTGGGGTTTGGGGGTTGAATATAGGGTTTAGGGTTTGGGGTTGAGGGTTTACCAATACTATTTGGGGTGACTATACTCTAAAGGACCCCCCAAAACCCTATTCTACGACTATTAAGGCCCCTACATTAGGATTTCCCGACTGGCTCGCTTCTGCAGAGTTACGAAGCACACGTGGCTTTAAGTTTCGGAGCTAGCTCGGACGGTCACGAGCGTTTTCAGAGCGTGTCACATGTCTGAGTCCAACAGGCTGAAAGCCTCTCAATCCCAAACCTCTACACTCCACAGCCGACTCCCTAAACCCCCAACCCGCAATCTTTGCGACGGCAGAACTTCAAGAGATTGCTGGCTTTCGGCGGAGGTCCTAATCAGCGTGTGTCCGCGTGCTGCGGAGGGTTCGCGCTGCCAGCTCGGCTTACACGGTTGTAAGAATGTTGGGTCGCGGTTCAGGGCTCAGGTTTAAGGCTTCGGATTTACAGATCCCTCGATGGAAGACTCAGCTCAAGATTCTAAGGGGTGCCGAACCACGAACCGCCGCGGGCTTCTGGGATCTGGCGGGGCTCGGTTCTGCCGTGTACATTTTGAGAATCCCGTTAACACAGTTAGAGGCAGAAGGGTACCCTTATAGCTTGTAAGGGTTTCTGGGACTGGGAAACCTAGTCTGGAGCCTCCTTGTAGATGCTCCACGTCTGGAAGATATCGGGGGAAGAGTTGGCTGCTTTACCGGTGAACTCAGTGATGTGACTACTCGTGATAGCAGAAAGGGTGGTTGGAGATATGAGCAGCAATAAGCAGGTTCTGTTAAGTCTGAGACCCGTGACCATAGGCAAGTACGGTGCTTAGTAGCAGAATAGGTAGCAGGGGACCCTTTGGGGGGGTACTACATCTCCTAAAAGTTAACCGCCAGTTCCCCAAGAATACTGGACAAGCAAGATTTTGTAAGCTTGGTATTCTTGGCACCATCAGCAGCAATGAGGGTCGCAATGTTTTTCTTAGGATGGATAAAACAAATCGGCACTAAAACCAAGAGAAGCACCTCAGACCCAAAGCCGCTCTTTCCTTCGCTGCCAGGCACTGGCGAGTGTGCCGGGGGTCAAAGAACCAGGCAGACGCCCAGAGGCCAACTCTGATGTTTGGGAGAAGGTTGAGGGTTTGGTTTCGGCATAGGGATTCGGAATTAGGGCTTTGAGTGCTGTTTGGGAGAAGGTTGAGGGTTTGGTTTCGGCTGTAAGGATTAGGAAGTAGGGCAGGGTTTACCGATTGAGCGGCATCAAGAGATTGGGGCCTTGCGGCTTTATGTTTTGAGGGTCAGGGGTTTAGGGATTTAGGCTCAGGGTTTGGGGGCTTGGAGTTTCGTGTTTACGGTGCGCCAACAGACAAATCCTTGATCCATGTGCCTGCAAGAGAGGAGCACCACACAGGCCTTAGGTCTATGAAGTTGAAGTATCTCCCAAATCCGAAGCTCAACAATAAACTTCTTCTTTCACCATTCAACCTGCACCCTCCACCCCGATCCTTGAACGGTTTAGGGTTTAGGGTAGACCGCAGAACCCGACACCCTGATCCCTGACCCGCAAGCCCTACTCCGCAGACCCCATCCCTGCAACACCCTTACTTGGCCGACGCACGTGGAAGCAGAAACCCCAACACTCCTAAAGTCACCCAAATGCCCGTAACCCCAAACCGAAAGCACCACACTATAAAGCCCAAAACCCATTACCCTAAACCCTAAACC